CTGCCTAGGCGTTAGCTTATTGCCTAGGATTTAAGCTTAATGCCTAATTTCACTTATTGCCGCTAACATATACAACTGTTGAATATAAAAGTACATGTTAACTGTTTGCATTGTGAAGAATTTTGTTTGTGAATATTGAATAATGATTGTTGGTTGTTTAAAGTCCAGTTGTAAATATTTCATGCATGTTCAGGACGACACTAATTTTACTTAAAGGGCCAATAAAGACACCCACATTTAACATCTCTTGTCTTACATACAGTATTTAGAAGAGGTTCCGGAACTTTTTAATCAATTGAAAAGTCGAACGTATCGATCAATATTTAAATTTTCCTTCAGAATCAAGTAGGACAACTTGTAACAGCTGTGCTTATTGTAAACAACTTTGTTGTTTGGTAATGTAGCTAAGTGCAATAACAGATCAATATTTTGAAAATGAAAATTTTGCCAAAAATCTAATCACCAGTAATTGCACTAATGTAATATTTTCTGATATTATATTACGTAAAATATCTTATCAAAAGGTTGGTACAATAAACTGAAATTCGCAACTTGAATAAACAGCAGGAGAAGTAATTTGAACATTATAGACTAGCCTGTTTTGTTTAAACATATGCAATCAAGCTTCTTTCTATCGAAATTCTATTTTTTTAGAAACATGTAATGTAGCATTAATTGACAGAACCAAGGTTTCGGTTTTATCGGTCTATTCTAAAATTTCTAAATCATTTTTAAAATACTTTTTGGTGATATTCTATTATCTTTCGACGTCTTTCGTCCATCCGTTCGTTGATTGTCCTTCCCCTTGACAAAACGATTTGAACCGTTTCCAAATGGTTGAGGTAATGTCATCATCATGCGAGATATTTTTCTTAGAATGGATGAACGAAAGTTTATTCGAATTCATAGAAACCATGAACGAACCTTAAAGCCAAAAGCCAACAATCATATTTTCAGATCAGCCGATTCTTCAAAGAGCCTCATTTTCAAATCAGTTCAACAAACTGAAAATCAAGTAAGACAGAAAAAGAGAGGCGAAAGATACCAAAGGGATGATCTAAATCATAAGCTGAAAAGGAACTGACAATACCATGACAAAAAACGGAAACGACAAAAAGACAAACAACAGTATACAAAACACAACATAACAAACTAAATACTAAGCACAAGAACCCCACCAAAAACTGGGGTGATCTCAGGTCCTCTGAAACGGTAAGCATCCTGCTCAACATGTGAATGGTACATACTGGCTAGTAGGTATTATTTTGATATCAGTATGTGTTTATAAAACTTTTTAGAACTTTATGACGGTACAGAAGCACATAGACATAGAATACACAGGACTTAAGCATTTTTGAGAATATGAATGATCATTCCAGACCATGCATTTCTAGCAAACATACAGCAAGGTTATAAACATGATCACCAGCCATTCTATACTAACGCATGTGCTTTGTTTGTTCACTTGTAATACTTAAGACACGTTGTTCACTGCCAATTTCTGATTCATGTAATTTGTAAAGAGTTTTATCATTATTTCCTTTTCAGTCGAATTTTATGTCATGCCCACGTTGCCAAAAGACGTTTAGCAAGAAACTATCAAGTTGATTTATTAGATTTTGTTGTTTTATCTAGTTAAATTTATCTTTTCTGTTATTATTCATTTTTATGCTTTGTTTTGTTCCAAGTGATATGTTGAAAATGTTTTAATAGTTAATCAACGAAGGAACATGGGCGTGAGTTCGTTAGCAGGCGTGTATTTCGTGATCAGGCGTGTGTTCGTTTTGGTGAGATTGTGGACCAGGTGTTTATTTATTTAGCTTCTGTGTTTAGAGTTTAATGGCCTCATCAACTGAGGTTTTGATGTTCCAACTTCGTTACTCAACACAATACGATCACAAGGAATTGCCCTATTCTTCTATCTGTTGAAATCATTTTGGCACAACTTCTATTAGTTGTTAAAAGATAATTATACTTTTAAGTACGAGCTGTCAATCAACTATCTTTCAATACATCTAATTCTCTTTGTTACATCAACTTGTTAATTCGTAGAAATTGGCGAGGCAATAAACCTGATTGAATATAAGTGTAGAATGTACTAAAGACTTTGTTAAGGAGGATTCAATATAAATCCCATCCATAGTAATCTCTGATATCTAGTGTGTTTACAACATAATTTCATTGTTCTCAATATACGAGTCTGACTACTGCATATTATTTGTCTTTTTTTAAAGTTTTGTGCAGTCATATATTTATCAGTTTTCTCATATGATTTGTCGTTGGTATTTGCATCTATTTGTCAGTTGTTATGTCGTTGAAGTAACCTCGTTGTTTTTGAATTTTTGTTCTTGTATAGAAAATGAAAGATTTTATCGAAGAGACCATATCAAAAGGGGAAGATAAAATACAATATTGAGATACCTTACCCTTCCCAAAATATGCGCATAGACCAGTATGCAAATTTAAAAAGAAAGTCATGTGGTCACACAAACAACAGAAAGTCACGTGTTCACATAAACAGCAGAAAGTCATGTGTTCACATAAACAACAAAAACATGTATTCCCATAAACAAGAGAAAGTCATGTGAACAACAGAAGGCACAGAAAACTACAACTTTGCAATACGAACATCCATATTAAGAGTCAGATGTTACAATCCTGTTTCTAATCTGGCACACGTCGTATTGTCCTTCCCTGTTTGACACCCTACAAAAGTGTTGATTGTTCATCCTGATTAATTCATCGCCTTAGCTTCTATGAACATTGAAAGATATCTGAAAACCATCTGCGTAAACTTTATTTCAAAATTTTATATCGCATTATCTTTTCTAACTCTGAAAACATCAGAATCTGCTTTTAACATAGACAAAGAAAATAATAAGACATCTTTTATTAAAACAAATATTAACATTTTTGAAAAGGAAAGAAGCACATTTAAAAAACTTTCGACTCTGCTAATTATACAGGAGATTGCATGCTTCTTTTGAATGTTCACGTCCCGAGTGTACTGAAACATACATATCATGTGTTGTTTTTCGTGAATCAATTGATACCTAGACCTTTAACATTGACCAATACATTTGACTATAATTGGAAAGACCATTCTGGATAAAACATCCTCTCTCTTTTGCATCAGGTTTTTTCTGACAAAATTTGGAAAGATGGTTCTTCTACATTGCGAGTTTTAACATCCTTAGGAGAACAAATAAGATGCATATTCACATATCGTGCACAGCCAGTAGCAAGTCTAACCCATTCATAAGGGATAACTTTGTCAACTCATTATTTGTATGACATGAACCTCAAAGTTATATTTAATTTTGATACATCGCCAATACATTTAAAAGGATGTTTCAAGAGCTAAAAACCGACTCTATCTTATATTTTTGCTTACCACAGATATTTGCTTAGGTAAGATAAATTGTGTTCAGTAAAATAAATTATATTACACACTTGTTTTTACAAAACAACAGCTGTTCAGACATAATGTAAATGATCGAACTTTGCTCTTAACACTGATTCTTCAAATTTTCGGCATGCATCACTATAAAATGCATGCCAACTGTCAAAAATTGATAGTTTCAATGTTGTTTGTAGTCAATGGAATGTTGAGGAGAATACGTTTTTGCATTACATCTGTCTGTCAATCTGACAAAATGATGTCTGTATAAATGTTACACTTTTGCAAAGAAATAAAGTAAAATAAAATCACTAAACCTTTTTGTATGTGAAGTACAGGAACATATCATATTCGTCCGAATGATATGGCAGAATATATTCAAAGAGTTAAAGCTGTGATTAAACAAAACATTATTTATGATACCACTGATGGAGCATGATCAGCTTGCCCTTCCGTACCACCTGAGATCAGCCCCAGTTTTTGGTGGCATTCGTGTTGCTCTATGTATAGTGTTTTTTGGACATGTTTGTTTTTCTGTTATTGTTCGGTGACGTATGTTGACTGCTGTACCCCTATTTTGACATTTTTACCTATTATGTCTGTTTTTTTTATTCACGCATCGTTGTCAATATAATTGAATTTGATGCGACTGTCATACAAGTGAGAGGTTTAGCGCTATAAAACCAGGTTCAATCCACCATTTTCTACATACGAAAATGCCTGTACCAAGTCAGGAATATGACAGTTGTTGTCAATTCGTTTGATGTGTTTGTGCTTTTGATTTTGCCATTTGATTAGGTACTTTCCGTTTAGAATTTTCCTCGGAGTTTGTGATTTAACTTTTTTTGTTGTCTGTTGTCTTTTGCCATGTCAGTTTCTCTTCGACTAATGAGTTTGAATGTCCCCTAGTTGTCTTCTGCCGCGCTTTTAAACCAGTACAAGTGAGAAGTGGTGAAAGAAAATATACCCTGACGATTGGAAAAGGATATTATCCGTTCATTATAAACGATCGCAAATGTGATTATTAGAAGTGTGAAATTAAATCTTTGCCCTTGTCTGTAGTTTAGATTGGGTTGTGTGTATTTCTTTATTTTGGGTGAATGGAAACGACTGAGGCAATGTTGTTAACGAGCTACATCTTATAGCATTTTTCTACAGTAACTACTTCACAAAATCGCACGGGTGGTAAGGAGAATTCTTGTTTACATTGAAAGACTAGTTTTATATATACATTGACATGTTAGTTGATTGAATTTTTCATTTTACTTTATGTACTTCCAGGTACATTTCGTAATTCACTCAATCAAAAATTTTCTTAGTTTAAAGCTTAAATTTCTATATCCCTTTTCCACAAAAAAGGGGAGCAAACAATACTTAAGAGACAATAAAAACAATCGAAGTCGAAGAAAAGTCGACAGTACCATGACAGACAATAGTCTATAAAGCACTACACAGAAAAAAAAGATTGAGAACCCCGAACCTTACAAAAAAAAAGAGGGTTGATCTAGTCGTGTTGTCACAGTCATGTTAAGTAAACTTTAAGATTCGCAGTTGATAGTGTATTGCTTTCAATGCTCACTTTCTCTAAAATCTATTTCAGGTATATGGTTACATAAAATGACATCACCAAAAATGCACGACCCGTTGTTCCATTTCGAAACTCATTTCCCAGAAAGATTATCACGACTTCATTTAAATCCAGAATTTTGCCCACAGGTACAGTCAAGGGCTGGCAGACGATCTCGTGCACAGCGGAAGTGTGGAAGATACAAGACGCAGCCTATTACCTTTGACGAAATTACGGAAGTTGACGAAGAAAACGTCCAAGACGAACCCAACGAGGACAATATTAAGCAATTGCAGGAATTTTCGCGTTCAATGGACGGTTTAGTAATCAAAACCGCTAAAAGTTCTAGGAGACATCATGCAAAATGTGATTTAAGTATACCGGAAGACAGAAATAACAATAGAAAGCAAGATTCAGTGCAATCAAGATTGCAAACAGAAAGTTTAAAAGACAACAAAGAAAATCATCCAAAAATGAAAAATCAAAATGGGGAACCTATTGGCCTGCCACCTACTGGTCTTAATCCTTCACGTGATCCGCGAAGACAAAGAATAACCGCAAAGGCAAAACGTCGTCAAATGACGGATGAAGCGCAAAAAGACCAAGACACATAGTTTTGGATGTTCTCTAATATATGTTAATATTGTGGATAAATATTATTTTTATACATATACTGTGCGTTTGTGTTCGCTGTCAACAAAGTTGTAAATGTTGCTTTAGATTAGTGAGGAAAATGAATCCAAATACATCGTGATGCTTATTGTTACACGTCATGAATAATAACTCAACAGACTGAGAATTTTTTTATAATGTATTTCAGGAACAAAGACATTCTTGTATGTATTATAACTCTCAGACGCAGAATATCTTGTGAAGACATACCTTTTTGTAAACGAATGCAAATTGTGATAGAAATACTATATAAGAAAAAAGAAATGAACATTTTTAATGTTATTAATTAAAAGGAAAGTGTAATTTAAAATTGTATTTTGAATCAAATATTTATTTTTCTGTCGTCAAACTGATGATCATTGACACGTGATACAGAGTCCAATAGTGCACTAACTAATTCAACTCCTGAAATATTAAAGCAAAAACTACATTTACGTTTGCAGGTTATTACTTATTTAAGAAAAATCGGATATTGCTTTCTTTAATGTTTGTGGCATTTTCTTATTACATACAAAATAAAAAGTCGTCTTAAATAAGCACAGTAATAAACCGCACAGAGCGCATTCACCATAGATAAACTTGTCGTTTTGCGTACAAAACACGTAAAAACAAATTTTTGAATGGATCAAATGCAAGTCAATGTGTCTGCATTAGCTTCAGATTTTGGCATTTATACAAACAACGCATGTGTTACCGCTCGTCTTATTAAAAACAATAATCGTCTTAATAAAAACAATAAAAAGTTCATAAAAATGCGATTCTGCGTATGCATCATCATGCTGGAGAAGTAGTTTACGACGCTAGCACAAGTTTCCTAACGTATCCCGCAACGTGCAAGTGTGTATGTCGGCAATGACGTCAAGTGGTCTACATATTGTTTCCACATAAATTCCAAAATATCTTTACGTACAATATTGTGTCATAATTACATTACAGTTATGTTTCATAAGATTTAGTACTTTTGATAAGCTAACACAATATAGACAATCCAAAATTAGATTTTATTTCCCAATAAAATGCAACATTAAAGACAGCTTATGCTTACCGTGACAACGTAACAACACATCGGAAATCAAACGAAAACTTTGATATCAATCGGAATTTCACGGATATAGCTGAAAGATGTTATTATAAGAATTTGATGCTTCTATTTTGTAATTTTGTAGAGTTGTAATAGCGTTGATCATGCCCACAATTTTGGTAACAATTCTTGATTAACTGTAACTTCGAAACATGAAAAGCAAAAAAAAAAAATTTCAATTCTCCTGAAATTTTTCACCTTTATTTCGTATATAAGTGGGTTCCGGATGATTATCAAATGAAAAATTCAAGGGAAAATTGCCTGTGCATTTTTTTAAAGACTTATAATGGCTTTTTAGTATTCTGCTCTATGAATAATTTTGTACTATACTTCTGAAGATATCTTGCATCACTTTAGTAATTCCAAACTAGGGATTTTTGCTAGATTCTTGAGCACATGCTCTCACGAAATGATTTGTTAGTGTTATGTGGAAAATTAAAAAAAAAATAAAATAATAGCTAACTAATGAGGAAACATCTTTGCTTTAATAAGAGACAATTCTTCGCGTATGTACATAGAAATAAAAAATAAAAAAAATAGCATCTCTATGCTAACAGAATTCTGAGGTCGAGCAGTAGCGTTGCATTGAATTTTGCTCATGAACACCGCAGACATAACATTATTCTGACTTTGTTGTGATGTGTTCTTTGAGTTAAGTTACATCGGAAATCGATAAATGTGATGTGTAATGGAGTACTCTAGGTACATGACTTTATCAAAACATCAAATCTCACTGGAAGTAAAAAGAGAAATTGTTTCAGTGGCACGTTTGACATACAATGTCGGCCAATTTTGCTAGAGTGTGTTAATGGACCACGAGGAGGTTTAAAAATATTCACAAACATTCAAACATTCTGAAAACATAAAAAAAAGGGACATAAAACTTTGTTCAATTATCTAAATTACAAACATTAAAAGTCAGTACTTGATAGTTTGCCATTGAGTAATGAAGTTTTCTTTTCCCGCTAGTATATATCGCGGTCACATACATTTACTACAACGGCATCTTAACAAATTTTTAACAACGAAACATTAAAAAATTAAGTACTAGCAGTCGACTTCTCTGAAACTGTATGCATGAAAATACCGTTATTATTCGACAATAACTCCAACATTATTGCTACAAAAAAAATCATTACCATGGAGATTTTTATCCAGAATATGAATCCCTAAAATAATTTACACGTATATTCTGAATACTGCTTTATTTTGCCTAATGAGTAAACAACTATTAAACAAAACAACACCACCTTTATTCTTAAATACGATAATCTTCTATAACGCCATTAACTTTACGTGATTCCATTTATCCAATATTTGGTATTCCACCAGGACCTCCAGCTGGGTATCCGAATGGATGTAAAAATAAAATAAAAGCACGCTCTGCAGAACATTCATAAATCTACAGAACTATAATAGTGTTTGACAAACTACGGCTTAATAGTCGTTCATTGAATTTTAACCAATTCCATCGTTTACTGTTTTTGAATAAGGAAACATTAAGTTTCCCCTATATAACCTATATAAAATAACTGTGATTTCGTTAATTTCTATGTATTTTGAAGAAATGTCCCCATGGCTTTATATTGAAATTGATGAAAGTACAATGACCCAGAAGTCTTTTACAGATGTTTAAGACAAATCTATCATCGAATATTTAGACACCCCAGCTATCTTAAGTACAGATTTGGTTGGGACGGAATTACCCTTAGCTAGTCAATTACTAAGTTTAATGATACTATGTGGCCTACTATCATATAACTTGGTATAAGAATAATCTATAGTTGTAATAAAAACTTCAGCGAAAAATAGGTCACTCTGACCTATATTTCATGCTTTATTGACTTTTGTGTTTAGGAATAAGAGGACAAAGACTGTTCGGTCAGTCAGAAGACCGTGACTGTGTAAGGTATCTTCATATGGGTAAGCGCGTTGAAAAAATCTGTCTCGGCGTGTCGGTTTAGTTCAAACTTACCCTTCCGGAGCACCTGAGATCACCCCCAGTTTTTGGTGGGGTTCGTGTTGCTTAGTCTTTAGTTTTCTATGTTGTGTCATCTGTACTATTATTTGTCTGTCTTTTTATTTACGGCCATGGCGTTGTCAGTTTGTTTCCGATCTATGAGTTTGACTGACCCTCTGGTACACTCTTTCGTCCCTCTTTTCAAAGCAGGGTACATTTATATCTCAACATGAAACCGATTTTAGCAGGCAAGTTATATTTGCCGCTCGACATTTATGGCCACCAGAAATCAATATTTGTAATACATAGGTATAAGTGACTAGTTTATAAATATAAATTTAATAGAATTTATTATGTTATGGTGTGAATAAGGAAAAATACATTTAACAATTCTGGTTTACATAACTTTGTCACCTTTTTCCAAAAATGCCATGATATAAAATTGAGAATGGAAATGGGGAATGTGTCAAAGAGACAACAACCCGACCACAGAACAGACAACAGCAGAAGGCCACCAACAGGTCTTCAATGCAGCGAGAAATTCCCGCACCCGGAGGCGTCCTTCAGCTGGCCCCTAAACAAATATATATACTAGTTATATAGATTGTTTAAATCCTTAATTTTTGTATTAATGTCAACCTATTACCAGTAGTTAAAGTAGCCTGACACAGATGTATGATTCATTGGGTTGTACCTGCTCATATATTTATTTCTGACAACAAATGATGTCCCAGCTTTCGGACAAATTCTGGTGATCAACACATATTATCGGTTAAAAGGGAGCAATTGTTGTGTATCTTGTATGATAAAAAAGCTGAATGATTATTTTTTATCAGATTGTTTTGCTTTTTTTAGTATCCCACATCATCAAAACACAGATGTAGCGTTTCAAAATCTAGCTCAGCTCAACTTGAATTTGCAGTGAGGTGTAAGATTTTGCTCTGTATTGAAGTTTTCAGCCGTTACTTTGAGATGAATAACAGCAAAAGAAGGGCTGCTCGGTTGGTTTTTATCTTGTAAAATCGTGAAGGGATCTTGTATCATGTATTAAGCTACAGTAAACTGTATCCATTATTTTCAGTTTATTGTCTCGTCTGCGATGAAAGTTGCGGAAGGCGAGACACAGGTGTTGCTTTTCTGGTGACGACGAAGGCGTTGTCGGCGTCAACAATTGTAAAGTTTCCTGCTTAAGACAGTTTGATAGGAACTACTTTTGATAGATTAATGATTTTTTTTTATAAAGTTGCATTACATTCATTCAGTACATATCAATTTGACAACTATTTCGAGGCCCTGCCCTCTAAATTATAGTCCAGCAACTTTCAATTAATAAGCAATTTTCAATGTTGAGTGTTCTGCTTAAGTTAGTTTGATAGGAACTACTTATGATAGATCAATGATATTTTGTATAAATATGCATTTCTATCAGTACATATCAGTTTGTCGACCATTTCGAGGCCCTGCTCCCTAGGTCAAGTTCCAGTAAATTTGAATTAATTAGTAATGTTGCTGTCCATCAGATTGTCTTTTTTCTGAATGTTCTGCTGACAGGCGAGACATATCTCTGTGTCAACATTTTTTATGCAATTTACTGTAACTGAATTTTTTTTCAGTTTATTCAAGTTTTTAGGACTATTGAAACCTTATAGTACACATGTTATGTCGTTTGCACCTATATATGTATACAATTACACTATTTGCCTAATTTCGTTGAAAAAGTGTGAAGTTATCAATTTAACAATAGGATATGATAAAGATGATGATGATGAATGGTTGTTTTACGTCCAGTGGCAAGTTTTAAAAATACATTTTCAGGGCAAGAACATGTTAATGTTATTATGTAAGCAAATACCCGTACACTCTTTGCATTATTTTGCTAAAAAGTGTGAAGTTATCAATTTGGTAGGATAAAGATAATATTGATGGATGGTTGTTTAACGTCCAGTGTCAATATAAATGTTTATTATGGATGAAAATATGTTAATGGGATTATGTTAAAAAAACAGTATTTGCAATATCTCAGGTGTTCCGGAACAGTTAGCAGATACTGCTCCACACGTGGCACCCGTTAGGTTGCTCATGTAAATACAAATTCGGTGATAAGTCTAATTCGGTGATGAATCTAATTTGGTGATGTCACATTCGAGGAAAAGAGAACGAGGCTTATTCTGGACGAAAACATGTTAATGTGACTATGTATAAAAGTCCCTCGCCAAAAAAAGTGCAAAGTTATCAATGTATCAATAGATAACGATAAAAATTACCTTGACCCCATTTTTATGGTTCATGATTGGTCAGTGTTAAGTTTTTGTGTTCTTGCCTGTTTCCCAGATACTTTAGACAATACGACTACAGTTTGTTCCCGGCCTTTCAGGAAATTTTGGATCCA